CTGTGCTACCGCCATGGTTGTGTCCTGGATCGTTAATTGTATGATAATGACCACCAGTTGATGACATAGAAATAGAACCCACGTTATGTGAATGTGAAGGCAATTGAGCTGCTGTAATTCTGTGCGTTGCATTACCTCCCGAATTGCCCAGATTAACCTGCTACGGTTGTGCGTACGCCTGAAGCATCAAGACCGATCGGTACTCTTCCACGCAGATCTGGAAGGTTGAATGTCGTAATACCATCGCCTGATCCATATGTGGAACCTATCGTTGCAAAAAGGCGTTGATAGACAATTCGTGAAACAGCGGATCCGTTGCAAATTAGCCATGGAGCTGGTGGGTGCATTCGCCCACTGTAGATTTTTACTTCACCAGTGAGAAGAGTAGGTGTGTGTTGCGAGCTTCCGGTAGTTGTTGGACTGTTCATTGTACTAACATGACGTATTATTGCGCTTTGATTTTTGTCAATGGTAATTTGTTTAGCTACTAAAGCGACCTGCAAGTTGTCTGTGAGATCGCTCGTTTTGTAAACATGAAACGATTTCGGTACCAACTTTTCCCCTTCCCAGCTAAAGTCAGCTTGCTGTTCGCTGAGCAATTTGACAATTTCATCTTTAGAATATTTCTGATGGTCTGTCTGTAATAGTTTGTCGTAAAATGTGTTTTTGGAAGACGATGTTGAACTGCCTTTGCCATTAGCTGAAAAGCCAAGGAATGACACACCCCCACCACCTTCCTTGGAGCTACTACTTATTAGTTCGTTCAATTTTTCCTTATTGACACTAAAGTATTTATCAGATGTTGAGTGTTGTTCAGTATCGGACACATTCTTCGTAAAGACTTTGCTCAACTCCGATGTAATCCGATCAGGATGTAAATCTGATGATGACCATGTTTCATTAAAATGGCCGGCATCAATTATAGTTTTCTGGGCATTTTCCATTCCTACAACAATCGTTTATAGTCATGAATGACGAGAAATTCATTAGCCCATAAGATCTCATCAGATCGTTACCTTGTTGAAGCAATGCAATAAACTGATCTTCAAGTCCACTTGCTAATGACTGACTATCGACTTCTGAATTTTCAGAATAGATAATCTTCTTCACATTGGTAATGTATTGTCCGACAAATTTCGACGCTTGATTCCGATGAATATATTTGGCATCCGTATTGCCACCATCAGCCGTTGTTTTGCTAGCAACAATCTTCAACTGTTCAGCTGTAATTGATACTGATGACGTTGACGTACGTTTAAATCCATCGAAGGAGAATGCGATTTCGATTTCGTATTCACCGCTAGTAATCATTCTTGCAACATTCTGTGCATTTTCATTTGTCGAACAAGAAAATCGAAATATGAGAACTAGTGAATTGGGGTGGACAGAATGGTATGGTTGAACGCCAGTCACAGGTAGATTACTTCCTGTCACAACATATGCTGTCAATGATTCAATCATTAAAGGTGCAATATCCCAGTACTTAGCAAACTCAGCCGTTTTCCTATCGAATTTTTTTGAAATTCCATCGCGTGCCATATGTTCAACCTCTTTATCGCCTAGCATTAGTTTAACACGCACTTCATTGTTCATTGCCCATGCCCAAACAGCGTCTTCCGAAGTTCGCACGGGGGTCATAAGCGGAACATAGTAGAATATCCATCGATGCGGATAGACTTTATTTTCATTTTCATTAGCAAAGGAGCTGTACACATAGATTTGACTACCATTGTAGTTAAACAGTGTAAATATATTTGTATTTATCGTGGCTCCTGCCAAATCACGTGGACTAGAGACAGTATACGCAAATGTTGTCTGATAATCTTGTAACACGCTTATCTCTAAGTTGGTCGTATTGAGCGACTGAATATCATCGCCTAATGACAAACCATCAGTTGGTAAGATCGTTAAAAATAGGAGCGCAAGAAAACAATAGGTAAGTCGTAACATATTCTTCGTTTTCTTCGAATACGATTCACACAGAATGATCTATATAGGAGTGACTATGTCGTTGCTTATATGCGAATTTATCATTTTATCAGACAAGTTCTTTCTTCTTTTTCTTTTCGTCTGTTTCACCATAGATTTTGGATCAAATTTACGATGCACTTGATCGAAAAAGAGATTAAGATAAGAATTCATTTCAACATGGAAATCTGCTTGCAGGGTCTATACGATCAGTATCTACTCGATAAGAAATTTTATAGAAGTTGCAGTATCAAAGGAAGACAAGATGGACTTTAATCGAAAAATACTCAAATACTTTTAACTATCTCAATAACGAATAGTTGAAGTGGTTTTTTTATATATTAGATGCTGGCGAATGTGCCCAGGAGTAGTCTACAATCCGCATGTTAGAAATAACGACAGAACATATAGAGAAATGTGAGCTTGGACTTTTTCATCTACCATTTCACTCCATTCAAAGTACTACTTGGGATATCATATCGATGATTAAGTATTTGTTGAATAGTAAAAACTGAGTTCTGCTATTGCGAGTATAATAAGTTGAAAACAAAGTAATAACTTCGTTGATCATTGTGGTGTGAATTTGAAATTGTGTATGATCACTTCAACTTCCTCGCCGACCAGAGGAGCCATGCCCGGAATTTCTTCTTGATGTATCCAAAGATTCATGTGAATTGGTACAGGAGCTATGGGGCAGGCATTAGCAAAACCATATGGCGTCGTCCATTCAAAGAATTTGTTTTCATCCTTTGTTGTATGCCCGTGATAGCTCTCCAGTTTGACACCGTTAGGAGACCATGTAAACGCACTGGTAGTGTACGTTCCATTTAAATCTTGTTTCTTATTCTTCGAAACTATTGGTCCACCTTCTGTTCTTGGATAGATTGTATAACCAAGATTCGTTGCATTTTGATCCGTCTGACCCCATTTACTCCATTCAATATCAATTTCGTTAGTACGATCCGGGCCTTCAGCGGGTGTTGGGTAGGTAAAGAGTCCTAAAACAATTTTTGGATCCAATTTATCCACTGAACCTTCAACAAACCAAACATATCGACCGAATCCAAACTTTTGAGATGTGAATACTTCAGCACAAGTCCATTGTCCGTTCTGCTGACTAATGCGCAAGTGAAGATGTCCATCGTCGTCTGCTAGAACATTGTTGGAGGACCATTTGTTGGGTCCAGGACCTTCAAGTTCATTGCTGCGACGTGCAATCCACTCAATGCCTTGCCAGTTAAAACTACGAGCCATGTGTCGAGCGATAGCACAACACAACAATGGGAGAAAATAATATTTACTTTGATTTATGTTTGCTTTTCATCATAGAAAGGTAAAACATTTATTTCATTGGTAAAAGAAAACAATACAAAATCACCTAATCTCGTCAGTGTTTACCTATTTTCTATGCACATTCTCACTCTCGAAATTCGCTATAACTCGAACATTAACATTATGTTTTGAATCAATATGTTGATGTTGGAAAAAACCGAAGTGATGTCGCAGCATCATCGAAATCTTCTGATAAATATTCTGGGCAGTTGGAGAAAAAGGACAACTTTATTGAAACAATGAATAACTCAAGTATAGATTCTGCGTTTCAACCACTAAAACCATCAGCATCAGTGAAAAAGAAGCCCCCATTCCCAAAGTAAAAAATAAAAATTTCTTTTTCCACGAAAATCTTCCTATTCATTCCCGTAATCAAATTTATTCTTGCAGTTGTTTACTACAATCACTGTTCCACTCAATCATCCATTTCTAAATATATCATCGTTTCATCTACATTAGAAATTGCTCTTTACGTTCTTTTCCGATGCCTCATTATCTTTTGTTTCGTACTAATAGAGTTTCGTGTGGGGATAAGTTAGCGACATAAAATTTTTATTTGGAAAAACAATTTCTATTCTTCAGAGCAAATTTTATGTACTCTCCGTACGAGGAGTTGTACTGTCATCCAGTACTCTACAATTGTGCATTTTGAACAGTAATGTTCAATTACAACGTCACCGCGATTCTTTTTGTTCGCTGCATTATTTTTATAACAAAATGTTCTTAATCTTAAAACTTTCAATAAAAAACAAACTTTTCATAGAGTTCTTATAACAGATATTAATGTGGCGAAAGCGTTTTTTATATTCTGTTCATTGCGGAGCTTCACATACTCATATTTTCAGTTTGGCTCATTGAGTGCATCGATTTCAGGATCAACTGCTCCAACTAATGCTTTGACAACATAATCGCCAAATGTAAAACGATATCGGCTTCCACGATATTTTCGAACTTTTTGTCTTTCTGTTTCATAATTACTTGTAACATCAATATTCTCCATTTCTCGATCCCATTCATCCAAATAATCGACCGTCTCCGTTTCATCCGTACATATTAAAAACGATACATACGTTGTACTAACGTTTCGCACCTTCTCCATGACGTGCTGAAGTTCGGGTATGTTTTCATTCCCGTCTGCATCCGTCGGAACACCATCGGTACAAACGAATACCAATAACTTTTTATCGCGTCCAAGTTTTGCCAAGTTCGATTGAAAGATCTTGGTGAGAACAGGTGCTAATGGTGTATAGCCACTGGGTGATCTCGCAAACGCTTTGTCGACAACCGTTGAATCTTTAACGTTTTTATAAGTTGCTGCGTTAAGAAAGTGTATATCAACACCGTTAGAATCAAATACCATTCCGATCTCCATAACTATCTGGGCGATATATCTGAGTTTCTCCCATCGCGTACATTGTGTAGATCCATCCCAGGTATTCATCGAGCCAGAATCATCACAGACGATAACTACTTCATAATCTCGAAGAACGTTGAGTCGTTTTGCCATCGGTTGGCTTATCTCATACTTGTTGATAATTGCTTTCAACGGATCAGGCACTACAAAGTCGATAACATACAATCATACTAACTTCTCATATCATGAACATACTTGAAGAGGATGGTTCAGGTGCATTATTTGTTCTGCTCAATCGATTACTATCACTCACCTTGCCTTTCTCTTGTAAATTTACCAGTTCTGTGCTTGTGAATCCTCCAAGATTTATGTTCTTCGCCAGATTCTGAAGTCCGGCTGGCATCTTATAATATGACATGGTTTACGTAACCGATCAGTCGACTGTCGATAAAAATTTCAAAGCATACGAAGATTATAATCGTTTTAAATAGTTCTATATTTAATGCGTTCATGATTTTTACTTCGGCAATTTCCAGTGCCATTAGCAAAACAAACAAAACAATTTCAGAGACATTAGTCACGTACGTAAAAATCGAGTTGCGAAATAAGAGACTTGAGTAAATGTAAAATATTCTTTTTCTTCCTTTGTACGCCAAAAATTCACCACGTGCTCTAAAAATGCAACGTGTGACGTAAGCGAGTTTTTTCCTGTCCGTTCGTAAATAACACATTGCAAACGCGACTCACACAAATCATTTGTGAAAATCTTCCTGTACGATATACTCATCGATGAAATGTGCCCTACAGATACACGATTTTGTACTTTATTAGAACCATTTGTCGATGATTTGCAAAGTTCCAACGAAGATCTACGTCGGCAAGCAACACTTAATCTTTACGAACGCATCATTGTGCAGTATGCTGATGTGAGTAAGAATTCTATTCGTTGTTCTCAATGAATTTGTACGTTTTGTTAGGCTCTATCCGATGTTGTTAAAAGTCTTGTGGAAGAAATTCAAATTTTCGTTCGCACGAAAATGAGTAATCCCAATAATATCAACGAAAATCGCGCAGCACTTCTTGTTATTCGTATGTTTTCTGTACTAAATACTTATCTTGACGATGAATGTTTCGACATTTAGTTTGTTTTATCTGTGCGGGACAACATTTTTATACTGAATTAAGTAACAAACTAGAAGCAACATTACGTGGTTATAAACAAACGTCGATGGATTCCAATCTTTGTGAATTACTTGTTAAATTAACATGTCTTCTTGTTAAAGTAGAAATCTATTGCATATGTTTTACTCTGATTCATCCAACGCAATCCTATTTAGGGCTGTGATAGAAAGAATATTGATCAGTTCTCGATCGATATTCTCAAAGCATTGGAATACATATCTCCTGAAGAAAAACACGAAATACGACGTTATAACGGCATACGAAGTCTAAAAGAAATTGCCCTGACTGCTCCTTTACGTTACTATCATTTGATAACACCAATCGACGAATATTTCGGACAACTTTTCAGCGTAATGGCCGATCCAAATAAGTACATTCGCGAAGCATTTGCTGAAACAATGAGAGTGACTTTAACTGTTCTTGCTGATCGGGAAGATGAAGAACAAGAAAAGAATCTGTTTCTCCAAGTTTATCATGTTTGATTGACAATTTCTTTTGAATTTCGTTTCAGTAGATTTGTTTATTTAGATGGCTTGTAAAGAATCAATGACGTGCTTGGCTAGCGATCAGAATGATGCTCAAGTTCATGGAGGATTGCTGCTGTTTAACGAACTGTTACGCATATCGGATATGAAATTCGAAGTAAAACATTCAATCTCGTAGAAACGACAAATATAGAATGGAATATTTTGATTGTAGAGTACCTATCAAGATTTGTTCCAATCATATAAAGTGATGAAATCAAAGGTATTCTCTTATAAAGTAAGTTGTTAAGACAATTACTTCAAAAACGAATGACAACTCGTTTTAGAACATTCATCGTGCTCGTTTTGCTTTCACATTCGAACAGATCGGTCTTTCATCGCCTATAAATATTATTGATAGTCTCGAACAGTCATCCGTTCCATCTCAATCATTCTTAATGCGTTCAATTTTCTTAGAAAATTTCCTTGAAATATGTGATCAAATCCTCCCGTTGATTCATCAATCCAAATCGACTAATGCTCATGTTCTCATTCAGATTCTACCACGCTTAGCGTCTTTGAACTACGAACTATTTTCTTCAAAATCACATGCGGATTCAACGATGAATTTCATATTCGAACAGATCAATTCTCCGGAATCAAACCAACGTCAGTCGGCTTTTCATGCATTGGGTTTAATGATTTACTTAGACACCAGGCTATTAACGAAGCATATGACAAAAATCACTGATTATTTGAAAGAGACCTTCATTCCCATTTCTGATCGTCGATATCTGTCACCGATGACAAGTACTCTCGCATGTATCACATTGATTGGTGAAGGAGGTCGAAAAGCATCGCAATGCTTAAATGCTCTACTTCAATATTTATTAAACTGTGATTTAAATCACTCGATTGTATTCTGTCTAAAGAAATTATGCTCAATGCCATTGATATCAACAGATATAAAGCAGAAAATTTACCGAGGTTTGTTAGAAAATCTTGCTTTGATCTTGCGCCAGACAAATGAACAGACCGACATGATTTTGATTGCTTTACAAACGTTACAAACATTCGATTTTGAAGTTCAGGCAATCGAACCGGTATTTATCGATATTTTACATTTACATTTGATTCAACATACTAATGTTCGTATTCGAATTGAATCAATTATGACAATGACATATCTGTTGCGGCATTTCTTTTTACCAATCGCATCAATGAAGAAAATACACATCAAACTTGCTTTAATTGTACATAAACTAATAACTATCGCTGTCACTGATCTAGATCCCGATGTACGCTATCATGTTCTTCTTGGTTTACAAGATGGTTTCCATGAATTTCTTGTGAAAAATGAAATATCAGACTTGTTGTTCTTCTCAATCAATGATCACTGTCATGAAATAAGAGAATTAACTATAATTTTACTCGGACGCTTATCAAATGTGAATCCAGCTTATATTTTACCTCGTTTAAAACAAGTTCTGTTTCAATTCTTAACAGACTTAGCACTTCAACGTGCATACAATGAAAAAGAGCAAACATTAAGATTCTTAGGTCAACTGATTACAAATGCACCGAAACTCGTTCGGTTATATTCGCCACTGATCAGTCAAGTAGGATTTTTAGATAAACATACTGAGAACAAAGAGTTTCGCTTAGGTTCTATTGCCACTCATCAAACAAACAGACCAACATTGCAATGCGCTCATGACTTTAGTCCAAACTATTGGCGACTACGCTCATGTTTGTGGCGTTGATTTTCGTGAACATCTCCATGACGTATTCCCTGTTTTAATACACATGCTGCAAGACACATTGAATGCTCGCAAACGTCAAGTAGCTCTATGCGTAACAGAAAAATTGATTAGAAGCTGTTGCTATGTCATCGAACCATTCGAAAAATATCCTCTACTATTTGATTTACTATTTCAATGTTTGAAGTCCGAAGATACCTTTGTCCGTCGACAAACGATACGTCTACTCGGTTTTATCGGTGCGATTGATCCTCAGCATATTCAATCATTTAATGGTCACTCGTCGGAAACCAATGACATAACAATCATTCATCGCACTTCAAACACGAGCGATTCAATTGAGTCCTCGTCAAATGAACATACAACTCTAGCTATTCATATTTGCCTTCGTGTACTCCAAGATTCAAGCAATTCAAATTTACATTTCAAATCGATTGAAGCGATTTCGAAGATCTTTCAAAGACTTGGTGATAATTGCACTCAGTATGTACCCGTTGTTTTTCCAGCGTTACTATCGGTTATTCAAAATACTAATCGGAAAAATCTACCTCCTTACTTTCATCAAATGAATTTTATTATCGTGTCGATGAAGACTTCGATCGCACCGTATATGAATGATATAATTCAACTTATCGAAACTTATTCAAGTTTGAGCATCGAATTACAGATCTTGTTTATTCAAACCATCGAATCGGTAGTGAGTGCGTTGGAAAACGAATTGCATCACTATACTCATTTGTTATTACCGTTGATTATGAAGATCTTAAAAATCGATTTGAAGAATTATTCATCTATTGATAAACAAACGATCTTATTACGAATGTTTTCCACATTAAAAAAAATCGACCGGCCTTTAAGGCCGTACTTGAAAAATATTCTCTTGCAAATATTAGATATTGCACTGTTGGATGAAAATTCCATAAAAGTACGCGAAGAAGCATTGAGTACATTTGAACATCTAGTAAAAAAGGAATTTATTCATGATTATGCATTGACTATCGTTCAAATTCTACTGTCAATTCTTAATTCTACGACACAATTACAAATAAAATGTTTGGATACGATTTATGTAGTAGCTCAACATATGGGCAAGGATTTTCTTATCTTCAGTCCGCTCGTATCGAAATCTATGCATGAATACTCATTAAAACATCCCGAGTACGAATCGTACATGTCCAAATTGAAAGATTCGCCATCTGATCAGTCACAAACGCAAGTGAATAGCAGTTCTGTCCAAGTTGCATCTTCCACTAAACAATTGACTGTACATGATCCTTCGATGGTGTATACAATGCGTATTGTGCCATTGAGACAGCATTGGTTACAAGCTTTGCATCGAAATGCAACCGATTTATCGATATGGTTAAGTAAATTTCAACAGCTTGTTCTAGAACAATCACCAATTTATTCATTACGAGCAATGGGAACTTATCTAGCCGAGCATTCGTCATCGATTTCGAAAGAGTTGTTCAATGCTTCGTTCATATCCTGTTGGAATATAATGAATACTGAAGATCGGAGAAGTTTAGCAGAAACCTTGATTTATGTTCTATCGGCATGCGATAAAGCCGATGTAATACAGACTATACTTAATTTAGTCGAATACTATGAACATTGTCAAGTCGAAAAGTCCGAAGAACAGCTCGCAACGTTAATTAACGTTCCTTTATTCATTAGCAAGGCCATTTCGGTTCGAGCATATGCCAAAGCTTTACGATATACCGAAATGCAATTTGAAAGTCAAAATATCTCCTCGTCGGATACAGTCGAAACGCTAATCAGCCTCAATTATGAATTACATCAATCCGAAGCTGCATTTGGTGCATTAGAATATGCGAAATTTCATAAAATCACGATCAAAGATCTTTGGTACGAAAAATTGGATCAATGGGAACGAGCACTCGGCCACTATGAATTCACCCAGGCCAACGATCAGTATAATTTGGATATCGAATTGGGACGAATGCGATGCATGCAGGCACTTGGTTTGTGGACTGAATTGAAGAAACTGACGCATCAAATATGGAATATCACAGAACCAATTGCCGGCGAAGCATCAATTTCATCATCTATCAGTCGAACTGAAACGAAGAGAACTCTTCAAGAGAAAGTCGCACCTATTGCAGCACGTGCAGCATGGAGCGTAAGAGATCTAGTGGATATGGAGAAGTATTCGATTCATATACCAATTACAAAATTTGAAGGAGCTTACTATCGCGCTATAAATGACATTCGAAAGAATAATTATCGGCAAGCACAGGATTCGATCGATTTAGCAAGAGAGTTCTTGGATGGAGAATTGAAGACCATAACGAATGAAAGTTCTAGTCGTGTGTATTCAGGTAACTTAAGGTATATTAGTCTGTACTATGAACATATTCTCTTTCCTAGCAATGGTCAATGCGCAATTACTATCTGAATTAGAAGAAGTTTGGGAATATAAAACCCGTCCTGAGCGTCAACAATCGATCTGTATGATGTGGCAAAAACGTATGGAAGGTAATCAATCGATGATCATCGATGATCGCCATCGTTTATTGTTAATACATTCTTTGTGTTTACCAATGATTGACGACCTTCAATCTTGGATCAAATTAGCCAGTCTTTGCCGTCGATCGGATCGTTTGATGATGGCAGATTTTATATTTAAACAATTAACTCAAACAGTTCCAATCGATGGAAATCAATCTTCCCAAACGTTTTATCATTCAATGTTACTTCATTATGAGAAAGGAAAGTATGACTGGCATTGTTTAAATAAAGCACGTGAACGTCTGTACTCTGAACGACAAAGTCGTCATGAAAATTCGATACGTAACAAATCGCCGATCAATGACGAAGATCTCGATGATAAATTGCAACAAAATCAACGGGAGCAACTGCAGCTCATTAATAATATGAAACAGATCATTCATAAAATACAGCAATCATCACCTTTTACAAACATAACTGAACCGGTAAGCTATTCTTTTCGATATCCACGTTTATTTTCAATCGAATTTTCTTCAGAACGCATCGCCCCTTCGTCGATTAACATCGAGGTGTTTCTTACGGTTAGGCACTTGGCAACATGAATTATCTGGCATAGCCAATGATAGAATATCCGATGAAATTCGGATCAACTACGAACATGCATGGACATACGATGAATCAAATTACAAAGCGTGGAACGCTTATGCCGTACTTAATTATGATATAGTTCATCATCGTCGGAAGGAAATTCAAGATTTAACACACGACACTCAACATCAACTGTCAACCACGATACTTCGCTGTGCCGTTTCTTCAGTTAAAAGTCTATTTAAATGCATTGTACTTTCAAAGTCGAAGCATTGTCTACAAGATACCCTGCGTTTATTAACCATTTTATTTGAATACGGGCAATATGATGAAGTGTATCAGGCGTTTGATGAAAATATGCGCATGATACCAATTGATGTTTGGTTACAAGTTTTGCCACAACTGATTGCACGAATTGATTCGTCACAGATCTCTATTCGTCAGCTGATACAACGCTTATTAATAGATATCAGCCGAGAACATTCTCAAGCTTTGATTTATCCGCTGGTCGTCGCATCAAAATCACGTATTTCCGAACGAAAATTTGCGGCATACATTGTTTTAAATCGTATGAGAGAACATAGCTCCGTACTTGTTCAACAGGCAATCATCGTAAGTGATGAACTGATAAAAATTTCCATCTTATGGCATGAAAAATGGCACGATGGATTAGGAGGAGCACTAAATCAATTCACCGAACATAAAAATCTTCTCGGAATGATCGAGCAATTAAAAGACTTACATGCAGAGAATTGTCTCGATGTCAGTAATACTTTGAATGAACGTAAGTTTCTTGATTTATATAAGAACGATTTACTACAAGCTTCCCAACATCTTCGTCAATTCTGTCAAACGGCCAATACAGTGGAATTTCAAATGATATATCGACTTTACTTTCAAATCTATCAACGTCTACACACACATTTACAATCGATGACAGCACTTGCACTCGATCAAGTCTCTCCCCGTAAGAATTCCATGCATTCGCATAGAAATTGTTATTTCTTTATTCTCTTTTCGAAATAGAATTGCTTACACATTGTCACGATTTGGAATTGGCTATTCCCGGAACGTATAAGCCACATAAACCGCCGATAACCATTCGAAATATTCATTCAAACGTCAAGATCATCACGTCAAAACAACGACCAAGGAAAATCAGTATGATGGGCTCGGATGGTTTTCAATATACATTTCTATTAAAAGGACATGAAGATTTACGACAAGATGAACGTGTCATGCAGTTGTTTGGTTTGGTCAACGAATTTCTTACAACGAATGAGCAAACGCGTCATCAGAATTTCGATATTCAACGTTACCCTGTCATTCCATTAGCGTTAAACAACGGCTTACTCGGTTGGGTCAGTCAATGTGATACATTACATACACTGATCAAAGACCATCGTACAAAAGCCGGAATCACTTTTGATATCGAGTATCGTCATATTCGAAATCAAAAACATGACTATGAACAACTGCCACTCATAAATAAAGTTGAAATATTCGAAAATACGATTGGTTCATTGGAAGATGATGATCTAGCAAAGATTTTATGGCATACGAGCTCCAATGCTGAAGTCTGGTTAGTGAGAAGATCGAATTACACGAGATCGTTGGCTGTAATGTCTATGGTAGGAACAAACATGAAGTATAGACATTCAGTGCGAATCACTTTTATTTGTAGGTTGGATATATATTAGGTTTAGGCGATCGTCATTTATCGAATTTAATGCTTGATCATGCAAGTGGGAAAGTTGTCCATATAGATTTTGGCGATTGTTTCGAAGTAGCGATGAAACGGGAGAAGTTTGCGGAAAAAGTTCCGTTTCGTTTGACACGAATTCTATGTAAAGCTATGGAAGTGACCGGAATCAACGGAACGTTTCGCATGACGTGTGAACACGTGATGGCCGTCCTAAGGAAAAATCGAGATAGTCTCATGGCTGTCCTCGAAGCATTCATTCATGATCCCTTACTGAATTGGCGGTTGTTAAGTGAACCGAATAGTACAGCATCAAGTTTATCGACGATTTACGAAGAGGAGCGGGAGGATCGGAGTGTAGCGCAACAGCAAAGTCTTGATATTCAAACAGTGGAAGTAATTAATCGCGTGCGAGATAAATTAACTGGCAATGATTTTCATCGTGAACAACCTGTAGATATTCCAACACAAGTGGAATTACTGATAAAACAAGCAACAAATCATGAGAATCTTTGCCAGTAGGTTCTAGGTGCTCGTTTTTCCTCGACTAATCTCTCGATTTTTCTTTATAGATCTTATCTGGGTTGGTGTCCGTTTTGGTGATCTTTCAGGGTTTTTGTTTATTTTGTAAATAATTTATTATTTATAATCATGAGGATAAGAAAATAAAATCTAAGGATGCGATCCAATATAGTAGGCATTGGAAGCAATGCCACACATATTTACTCCTCGTCTTATCCGAATAAGACCATTCTCGCCCCACGTTTGTCCCCATGAGTTCTTCACTTTCCAATAATCGAGTCCTGTTGTCGAATCATGACCATATCCAACTAGAAGCATAGCATGATTTAATCGTGGTTGCTCACTGCACCCCGGCACATCAAATACACCAGTAGAATACGCATTGAATTTCATAGAAATATTCGTAAGAAGTAACGATTCATTTGCTCGATTGCCAACATTGAATGAAATATAAATTGGTCCGTACTTCCGCAAAAGTATTTTCATCGCTTCTTCATCGTAGCTCGGCACACGTTTGTATAGCTTTTCGCCGAGATTGATTCCCGTCGGATGAGATGTCGGACATAGTTGGGCAACGGCTGTATACGGATAATGTCGGGCCAATTGCGTATACCAATATTTTGATTTCATGTAATTAAAACATGGAATGAAATTGCCTCCTCGACAGCCGAACAGTGCTGAACAATCGACAAACTGCTGTTCGCTGATGTCTTGTTTTGTACCATATCGAATGGCATAGTTCGCTTCGAGCATTCCAACAAATGCAAACGCATAGCAGCTTCCACATCGACCTTGATTCTTTGCTCGCGAAACCACGTAATGTTTCGTCCAATCCCATGAATCGTATTTGTCATTATTCAAAGGAAAATACTGTTCGGTATCGGGAATGGGATCGAAATCGTATCGTGAAGAAACCTTGTCGGCATCCTCCTCGGGCAGCAGTCCAGTATGGTGATCAATCTCATCAGCTGTCCAATCAGTAAATGCATTCAAACCTAATGTAAACGAGTTTCTTTCAGCAGTATTGGTTTGTGCAATAAATTTGAAATTTTCTTTGAAACTTTCCATTCGAATGAGTGTCTCGACATTCGACCGAGCCATTGTTCGATGTGGATGGTACTGCATCCGGTAGTATTCATATAAATTTGAAATAAACGAATCATCAACGAGTTGATCAGATCGTTTGTGGAGGCTTTTTTCAAGATATTCTTGAATAGTTCTGCACTGAATAGTGCAGACCAGCAAAAAAATGATACTTATTGATCGCATATTCTAATAGGAATGAAAACATCGATGCTTTAGTCAAACACTTATATGTACAGGATTTGATAAGCACGTTGATCGCCTCTTATCGAGTCATTTGCATATGCAGTCGATAACAGTTTTAGTCAAAATGCTTGCACTGTACACCTACATTTTACGATAACGGAGAATTAACGTGAATCAACTGATATGAAGTGTCGATATCGAAATCTTTCGAGTTTTTGATATTCATTTCACCCACATAATGACTCGACTATCATCGAGTCATTTTCGTGTTAATCTGGTTATGAATTTACGCAGATTTTTATTCGAACCGAAAGGAAAAATCAAGACAAGAACGAATAAAATGCATTGTCTTCTAATGATAATATTCCGTCAGTATAATAATTCGAACCGGGCCTTCGTTCGTGCAACTAATTGAAGTTCGAGTTTAATTGAAGGAGACAAACTACAAGAGCGAAGATCAAGTCTTTGCAATGATCGATTATTGTGCATTAAATCCAGGAGATAGTCGAGACTTCGATCAGTAATCATCTTGTTCTCAGCAAGCAATAAACGTTGAAGAGTGTTGTTTTGTTTGAGTGCCGCAGCCAAATTTGCAACGCCAAAATCACTAATTTCGTTATCTTCGAGTCCTAATACCAACAATCGACGGTTTCTCTCAAGCATTTTACTCAAATGCTGTACACCATCGTCTGTGATGCCATTTCGTGATAATCCCAAGACAAATAGGGACGAGTTTTCAGTAGACAATGATAAATAATATGCACCTTCATCTGCGATGTTATTGTCAGAAAGGTAGAGTCGACGTATTGTTTCACTTCTGTCCAATGCATTGACGATAATTAGTGCACCTTTGGATGTTATATTATTACTTCCCAAATCGAGTTGTATGCATTGCTTTTCAATGATCGCCTCTGTAGCTACGATGTTCATCTCCTCATCAGTAAGACTCAAGCCAGACAAGTTGATGTTTGACTGTAGCGGAGCATTCGCAATCAATTGTTTCAGTTCCACACTAGACGCAGTCATCGACTAGTAATGCGTTTGTCTTACGGTGAAAAATAAACACGCAGGAGTCCATATATATGAAAATGAAAACACTTTTCTATTGGATGTGTCTGTAACATGACCTTTTGCACGCGCTACACCGACGAATATAATGAAGGAATACAGGAAAACGAAATATTGGCATGTAATACAAGACAGTATTGTTTTTGTTTTAGCAAGTCGTGCTCGTCTTGTTAATTGCTATTCTATATATATACATATATATCTCTGTGTATGCGTGTGAGAAGTACCGGACCTATGTTCGTTATGTGTATTAAAAAATCGATAAAAATCACGTTTTTGTCACTTAGATCTCAACAAAGAAAAAAATATGTATAGGATTGAAAAGTGCAATAATGTTGTAATGATAGAAATATGATAGTCTGGATTCTACTTAGCTCATAAGATGCAAAACGAGTATAAACACTTCCTCATGCACGCCTTTTCCCAATGTCATTGAGAATATCTTGTTTGTGTGAGCAGAATGCTCGCTTTTCCCTTGAGCGCACGATCGTATGTATCTTCACGAGTCTGAAATTCACATGTCTTCTTTGTTCTTCGACGACGTCCTCAGAAAACATATCGACGATTCTGTGTTTCGTCCCGGTATGCTTGTTTTCTTCTTGTATGCAATGCATCTCCAATGATTCTAACTGTCTGGATTCTGTTGAATTTGATAGTAGTCCTGGTATTGAAAAAGGAAGAACAAGTATATACTTGCTACAAAGATTAAAGAGCATGAGTTTTTATCATATTCAGAAAGAAAAACGACGACGGTTCTTCGTCATGAAACAAGAAAACAAGATAGTCTTACTTTTTTCCATCCGTTAAGTTCTATTTATAATAGGGATTTTCATGATGAACTCAACATTACCAGCAAAGGTACTGAATGTCTTCTCAACAGCGCTAGAGATCATTTCTTTGTTAATTTCCTTATTTTTCTTATACTATATTATTCATCTAATGATCATTCGACGTTCGTATCAAACATCCCGAAAAATTGACATTTCCATCCTTTTATCAATCAATGCTATTTGTTTACATATATTAAAAAGCATTCTTCAACTGATTAATACAAATATCAATACAATCAAATACGATTTTCAATTCCGAGTGGAACCGTACGATTTATTCACCTGTCAAACATTAGCATACATGTTTTTCTCGATCGTCAATGCATTGTATTGGAGTTGCGTTCTCCATGCTGGATATCGTTTCACTCGTATTTTATATCCCAAACGTTTGTGGTTACGTCGATTGTCCACTTACATCTATGTTTTCATTCCCGCTCAATTTGTTGTCGCTTTCACAGGAATGTCACCGATTCCATTCGTTTTCCATTCAATACATATCGTACCCGATGAAATCTATTGTAGTATATCGATGGAGAGACTACCATCGTTAATTTATCTGTTTGCAGTACTTTTCTGTTTGCCTTGTTGCTTTATTGTCATGTTTTATGTCTATTTGGTTCACAAAGTACGATCTGTAACCTCAGTTCGAGTTTTAACACGAAGACATCGACGAGATTATATCGTGATTCGTCGGATTATATTAATTTTGGGTGTGCTAAGTATAACGTCTTTACCGGCAGTTATAAACTTAATATTTTTTAATCCAAATGGTCTATTAGAGCCCGTTGTTTACCGTATTCAGTGGGTGGCCTCATCCGTAAATTCATTTATATTTATTATTACATTGCCACTTGTTAATTCACAATTGTATAGATTATTGACCAAACGAAGCAACTTCAAACAACGTGATATGAGACTAACTTCAGTTAGAGTAACTGGTTTTTCAGATAATCGTGATGCTTCGATGTATGACACACTGAGAACACGGATTTATTGTAAATAAATTCATTTCGTTATTCAAATGTAAAAAATGTGAAGCCTTTTCTTTTTCTTTATGAAATAACACAAGCGTCACTCGATGGATTTGAATGATTGTATGAAGATCGTGCGCTTCTAGCACTCAGCGCACGAGCAGCAGCTGCTCGATTCTGTTGTTCAAAGTAAGCAGCCAGTCCTTTCACTGGTTCAACATAATTTGCTCGCATCCATGACATACGGTAGGTCATAATTTTCTTCACTTGCCGTGTTTGCCCAGCAACAATGATTGACTGAACAGCTAACAGTTGATGACGTACTTCACTCAGCTCATAGAATTTATTGCCGCTATCACCACAAAGCTCTTCAGCGTGGAAAAACACTTTTCCTTCGAACCCATCAGGGCTCAAAGCTAAGGCAAGCACAAGAACCATTCGCTGTTCAGCATTGGTCAGAAATGACCAATTACGATAGTCTCGATAACGTCGTACATCTTGATCCGTATATTCTATAGCGCTAAATACACAATTGAGATAATACATGAGTTTCGCTAAATCATTGTCTGGAACTGTCGCTCTTGAACTAGTTGGTCGCAGATTGAACTGACTACGAGAAAATAAAGCCATGGATATTTGTTTGTATTGTAGCCGATGAATTTGATTAGAAGAATAAAATACAGACACAGTTTTTATACTTCACTGCATGATCGGTTGGAAACTTTCGCGAGAACTTCCTTGTAAACAAAGTGGCTGCGTTGGTTGGAAAAAGTTGTCACGACCGTAAACGTCATAAAATCAACAGAAAAATTTTCTCTTTCTGTATGCTGCTGTGGCTTCCATTCGTTTTTCATTATCGTCAAAATGACGCTAAAAGATTATATTTGTTTCCCACAATTACTTCATCGTTTCTGTACTTATTTCCTATTTAAAACAACGAGTCATACGTGATTAAACAAAGCCGTGACCTATCTCGACTGAATTACCGAGAATACTTGTCGAATTAGCTTCACGCTAGATTATTAATGTACTACAATAGAATGTAGCTCATTTACTGAACTCCATATTGCAAAGATATGCTTGAGAATGAGCCATTCAGTGTAGATAAAGCATAGTGATTGAGCAACAAGTAAACGGACTTTACACGTCGGGGGGTAAACTCTGCTTCGGATCACATTCATATATATGCTATGAAATTGTTCGCTAGAAAAAAAGCAGTGTTTATTCATTTACACAACGAAAAAAAGGAAAGAAAACATATGCCCCGTGCACACAACACCCAAATGTTCAAATGACTAGCATGTTCAAACATCACTGTTTTCTTCTTCAGCAAGACGCACAACAGTCGAACAGGAATATTTCATTTTCAACGACGCTTCGGTGTCGATACTTGTACAGGTCGTTGATGAAGATAAGGGTCGACTAATTTGTTTCGACAATGACACTGATTCGTAGGTGCTATCATGTGGAAGTTTGCTTATGGAGGAAATAGACGATGGATAACTGTGTTCAACTGTTCGAGAGTATTGTTGATGATCAGACAAGGAATCCTAAACGAAAATGGATGTGACTTTCATTGCCAAAAACTTCAATTCATACTTCGACTAATCGGTCGTGTTCTTCAAATGTATGATCATCTGTTTTACTCGTGCTGCTACAGCCAGGACTTTCATTTTCAATATAGTACGATTTTCGAGGTATGGATACGTATAAATGGTAAGTTTTGTTTTCTTGGTAGTATCGTCGATGGATAAAAATAAATTTATACAGACAAAAAATCAATCCGATCATGGTTAAGATAATCATTGATATGATAATGATGTATGTATATGAATAATACGTTTTCCATGTTCGAATGTTGTTCATCAATGAAATATTTGAAATGTTATTTGAATGGTTTGTAACGGAAATGAATAGATGACAATCGTAAGTTGAGTTAAGCTGAATAACCTTGCCGTGATCTTGAGCGAGGATTTGAAAATGATATGATGATTGATTTAGATATTCTGAATTGAATAATTGGCCTTGGTTATTAATACGAAATTGTTTGTCATGCGGAGAAAGAATGAAGTAAGATATTTCACTGTTTTCATTCTGATCAGCGTCGGTTGCTTGAACTGTGAATAGTGGATGATCTGAAAGAGAAGAAAATGTCAGATGGAATAGAGGTTTAGAGGTGAAAAAAAAACAGACCAGAGGATCGATTTCGCGGATTTTCTAAATAAATTTTACATTCTTTTGTTTGATCAAACAGCGGTGGTGAATCGTTGATGTCGACGATTTCAATTTGATATTCTAGTTTAATGGATTTCGATGGTTTTCCATGATCAGATATGGTCAAAACGAATTGATTGAATTCTTTGGTATTTTTATCTTCACGGTCGATAAGATGGTTCACGATGAGTAAAAGCGACTTTTGGTCGAGTGTTTTAATTCCTAAGATGTCCTCTCCTTCTTCGATTTTATATGACATCTCGCCATTGAAACCAGAATCTTGATCGGAAAGAGATATGTGTGCAAGGATTTGTCCAACAGGTGTATTTTCCGTTATTGAAATGATCGAATTGTTCACGAGTGGATCGACAAAGGTAACAAACGCTTGTGGAAAGTTGTCATTTTCATCCAAAACGGAGATATCAATCGAAAGGAAGCGCGCTAACGAATTCTCGCCTAGATCTCGCACTTGTACAGTTAAACGATACGATTGTTCCGATTCATAATCCAATGAGCTGACGAGCGTCAATCTAAACAACAAGGTCAAAACCCTTTGATTCGTACAAAAGAAGAGAAAAAAAAATTTACATTCCAGTGGATTCACCAATACGGAAGTAATCCATCCAAGTGGATGATGGTAAGCCATTGCTAATGGAGTAATGAATCTAGGAAATCAAACTTGAAGTCAATTGTGTACAATGGCCTTCTCAATTTACTTTGCCGTTAAGTCCAATATCTTGATCGGTAGCATTCACATATGTCAATTCCGTTCCGACTGGTGTATTTTCGCTGACATGTAAATGAATGTGTGTTTGGGCAAGGACAACTGAATTATCATTTCGATCCTAAAAATATAAAATCAATGATAAACTCATCAAATCATATTCATTTCTCTACGCACATGAACTGTAATGTATAATTTCGTTGAACTTTGTTGTCTCGGTTGCCCATAATCATAAGCAATTAACTCATATTGATAGAAATCTTTTTCTTCTCGATCAATCTCNTTGGAGCTACTACTTATTAGTTCGTTCAGTTTTTCCTTATTGACGTTAAAGTATTTATCAGATGTTGAGTGTTGTTCAGTATCGGACACATTCTTCGTAAAGACTTTGCTCAACTCCGATGTAATCCGATCAGGATGTAAATCTGATGATGACCATGTTTCATTAAAATGGCCGGCATCAATTATAGTTTTCTGGGCATTTTCCATTCCTACAACAATCGTGTATAGTCATGAATGACAAAAAATTCATCAGATCGTTACCTTATTGAAGCAATGCAATAAACTGATCTTCAAGTCCACTTGCTAATGACTGACTACTGACTTCTGAATTTTCAGAATAGATAATCTTCTTCACATTGGTAATGTATTGTCCGACAAATTTCGACGCTTGATTTCGATGAATATATTTGGCATCCGTGTTGCCACCATCAGCCGTTGTTTTGCTAGTCACAATCTTCAACTGTTCAGCTGTAATTGATACTGATGACGTTGACGTACGTTTAAATCCATCGAAGAAGAATGCGATTTCGATTTCGTATTCACCGCTAGTAATCATTCTTGCAACATTCTGTGCATTTTCATTTGTCGAACAAGGAAATCGAAATATGAGAACTAGTGAATTGGGGTGGACAGAATGATATGGTTGAACGCCGGTCACAGGTAGATTACTTCCTGTCACAACATATGCTGTCAATGATTCAATCATTAAAGGTGCAATATCCCAGTACTTAGCAAACTCAGCCGTTTTCATATCGAATTTCTTTGAAATTGCATCGCGCGCCATATGTTCAACTTCCTTATCACCTAGCATTAGTTTAACACGCACTTCGTTGTTCATTGCCCATGCCCAAACAGTGTAAATATATTTGTATTTATCGTGGCTCCTGCCAAATCACGTGGACTAGAGACAGCATACGCAAATGGTGTCTGATAATCTTGTAGCACACTTATCTCTAAGTTGGTCGCGTTTAGCGACTGAATATCATCGCCTAATGCCAAACCATCCGTTGGTAAGATCGTTAAAAATAGGAGCGCAAGAAAACAACAAGTAAGTCGTAACATACTCTTCGTTTTCTTCGAATACGATTCGCACAGAATGATCTATAGGAGTGACTATGTCGTTATTTATATGCGAATTTATCATTTTATCAAACAAGCTCTTTCTCCTTTTTCTTTTCGTCTATTTCATCATAGATTTTGGATCAAATTTAATATGTACTTGATAGAAAAAGAAATTTAAGATAAGAATTCATGTCAACATGGAAATCTCCTTGCCGGGCCTATAAGATTAGTATTTATTCGATAATCAATTTCATACAAGTTGCAGTATCAAGGAAAGACAAGATGGACTTTAATCGAAAAATACTCATAAATACTTTTAACTATATCAATAACGAATGTTGAAGTGGTTTTTTATATACTAAATACTGGCAAATGTGCGCAGGGGTAGTCTACAATTCACATGTTAGAAAACGACAGAGCATATAGAGAAATGTGAGCTTGGAGTTTTTCATCTACTTTTTCACTCCATTCATATCAATGATTAAGTATTTGTTGAATAGTAAAAACTGAGTTCTGCTATTGAGTATAATAAGTTGAAAACAAAGTAACAACTTCAATGATCATTGTAGTGTGAATTTGAAATTGTGTATGATCACTTCAACTTCCTCGCCGTTCAGAGGAGACATGCCCGGAATTTCTTCTTGATGTATCCAAAGATTCATGTGGATTGGTACAGGAGCTATGGGGCAGGCATTAGCAAAACCATATGGCGTCGTCCATTCAAAGAATTTGTTCTCATCCTTTGTTGTATGTCCGTGATAGCTCTCCAATTTGACGCCGTTGGGAGACCATGTAAACGCACTGGTAGTGTACGTACCATTTAAACCTTGTTTCTTGTTCTTCGAAACTATTGGTCCACCTTCTGTTCTTGGATAGATTGTATAACCAAGATTCGTTGCATTTTGATCCGTCTGACCCCATTTACTCCATTCAATATCAATTTCGTTAGTACGATCGGGGCCTTCAGCGGGTGTTGGGTAGGTGAAGAGTCCTAAAACAAGTTTTGGATCCAATTTATCCACTGCACCTTCAACAGACCAAACATATCGACCGAATCCAAACTTTTGAGACGTAAATACTTCAGCACAAGTCCATTGTCCGTTCTGCTGACTAATGCGCAAGTGAAGATGCCCATCGTCGTCTACTGTAACATTGTTGGAGGACCATTTGTTGGGTCCAGGACCCTCGAGTTCATTGCTGCGACGTGCAATCCACTCAATGCCTTGCCAGTTAAAACTACGAGCCATGTGTCGAGCAATAACACAACACAACAATAGGAGAAAATAGTGTTTACTTTGATTCATCTTTGCTTTTCATGATAGAAAGGTAAAACATTTATTTCATTGGTAAAAGAAAACAATACAAAATCACCCAATCTCGTCACTGGGTGAGGGTGAGGGCGTGGGTGAGTTAGCGGCATAAAATTTTTATTGGAAAAAAAATTCTATTCTTCAGAGCGGATTTTATGTACTCTCCGTACGAGGAGTTGTACTGTCATCCAATACTCTACAATTGTGCATTTTGAACAGTAATGTTCAATTACAACGTCACCGCGATTCTTTTTGTTGGCTGCGTTATTTTTATGGCAAAATGTTCTTAATCTTAAAACTTTCAATTAAAAAAATACTCTTCATAGAGTTCTTATAACAGATATTAATGTGGCCAAAGCATTTTTTATATTCTGTTCATTGAGGAGCTTCATATATTCATATTTTCAGTTTGGTTCATTGAGTGCATCGATTTCAGGATCAATTGCTCCAACTAATGCTTTGACAACATAATCGCCAAATGTAAAACGATATCGGCTTCCACGATATTTTCGAACTTTTTGTCTTTCTGTTTCATAATTACTTGTAACATCAATATTCTCCATTTCTCGGTCCCATTCATCCAAATAATCGACCGTCTCCGTTTCATCCGTACATATTAAAAACGATACATATGTTGTACTAACGTTTCGCACCTTCTCCATGACGTGCTGAAGTTCGGGTATGCTTTCATTCCCGTCTGCATCTGTCGGAACACCATCGGTACAAACGAATACCAATAACTTTTTATCGCGTCCAACTTTTGCCAAGTTCGATTGAAAGATCTTAGTGAGAACAGGTGTTAATGGTGTATAGCCACTGGGTGATCTCGCAAACGCTTTGTCGACAACCGTTGAATCTTTAACGTTTTTATAAGTTGCTGCGTTAAGAAAATGTATATCAACACCGTTAGAATCAAATACCATTCCGATCTCCATAACTATCTGGGCGATATATCTGAGTGTCTCCCATCGCGTACATTGTGTAGATCCATCCCTGGTATTCATCGAGCCAGAATCATCACAGACGATAACTATTTCATAATCTCGAAGAACGTTGAGTCGTTTTGCCATCGGTTTGCTTATCTCATACTTGTTGATAATTGTTTTCAACGGATCAGGCACTATAAAGTTGATAACACACAATCATACTAACTTCTCATATCATGAACATACTTGAAAAGGATGGTTCAGATGCATCATTTGTTCTGCTCAATCGATTACTATCACTCACCTTGCCTCTCCCTTGTGAATTTACCAGTTCTGTGCTTGTGAATCCTCCAAGATTTGTGTTCCCCACCAGATTGTGAAGTCCGACTGGCACCTTATAGTTTGACATGGTTCACCTAACCGATTAGCCAACCGTCGATAAATATTTCAAAGCACATGAAGATTATAATCGTTTTAATAGCTCTATATTTACTGCGCGCATGATTTTTACTTTGGCAATTTCCAGTGCCATTAGCAAAACAAACAAAAGATTTTCAGAGACATCAGTCACGTACGTAAAAATCGACTAGCGAAATAATAAACTTGAGTAAATGTAAAATATTCTTTCTCTTCCTTTGTACGCCAAAAATTTACCACGTGCTCTAAAAATGCAACGAGTGACGTGAGTGAGTTTTTTTTTCTTTCCGTTCGTAAATAATACATTGCAAACGTGACTCAAAAAAATCATTTGTGGAAATATTCTTGTACGATATACTCATCGATGAAATGTGCCCTACAGATACACGATTTTGTACATTATTAGAACCATTTGTCGATGATTTGCAAAGTTCCAATGAAGATCTACGTCGGCAAGCGACACTCAATCTTTACGAACGCATTATTGTACAGTATGCTGATGTGAGTGAGAATTCTATTCGTTGTTCTCAATGAATTTGTATGTTTTGTTAGAGTCTACCCGATGTCGTTAAAAGTCTTGTGGAAGAAATTCAAATTTTCGTTCGCACGAAAATGAGTAATCCCAATAATATCAACGAAAATCGCGCAGCACTTCTTGTTATTCGTATGTTTTCTGTACTAAATACTTATCTTGACGATGAATGTCTCGACATTTAGTTTGTTTTATTTGTGTTGGACAACATTTTTATACTGAACTAAGTAACAAACTAGAAGCAACATTACGTGGTTTTAAACAAACGTCGGCTGATTCCAATCTTTGTGAATTACTTGTTAAATTAACATGTCTTCTTGTCAAAGTAGAAATCTATTTCCTATCTTTTACTCTGATTCATCCAACGCGATTCTATTTAGGGATGTGACAGAAAGAACATTGATCAGTTCTCGGTCGATATTCTCAAAGCATTGGAATACATATCTCCTGAAGAAAAACACGAAATACGACGTTATAACGGCATACGAAGTCTAAAAGAAATAGCTCTGACTGCTCCTTTACGTTACTATCATTTGATAACACCCGTCAACGAGTATTTCGAACAACTTTTCAGCGTAATGACCGATCCAAATAAGTACATTCGCGAAGCATTTGCTGAAACCATGAGAGCAACTTTAACTGTTCTTGCTGATCGGGAAGGTGAAGAACAAGAAAAGAATCTGTTTCTCCAAGCTTATCATGTTTGATTGACAATTTCTTTTTAATTTCGTTTTGGTAGATTTGTTTATTTAGATGGCTTATAAAGAATCAATGATGTGCTTGGCTAGCGATCAGAATGATACTCAAGTTCATGGAGGATTGCTGCTGTTTAACGAACTGTTACGCATATCGGATGTGAAATTCGAAGTAAAGAACATTCAATCTCGTAGAAAGAATAAATATAGAATGGAATATTTTGATTGTAGAGTACCTATCAAGATTTGATTCAATCATATAAAGTGACAAAATCAAAACTATTCTCTTATAAAGTAAATTATTAGGACAGTTATTGCAAAAACGAACGAAAATTCGTTTTAGGACATTCATCGGGCTCGTTTTGCTTTCACATTCGAGCAGACCGGTCTTTCATCGCCTATGCATATTATTGATAGTCTCGAACAGTCATCCGTTCCATCTCAATCATTATTAATGCGTTCAATTTTCTTAGAAAATTTCCTTGAAATATGTGATCAAATCCTCCCGTTGATTCATCAATCCAAATCGACTAATGCTCATGTTCTCATTCAGATTCTACCACGCTTAGCGTCTTTGAACTACGAAATCTTTTCTTCGAAATCACATGCGGATTCAACGATGAATTTCATATTCGAACAGATCAATTCTCCGGAATCAAACCAACGTCAGTCGGCGTTTCATGCATTGGGTTTAATGATTTACTTAGACAACAAACTACTAACGAAGCATATGACAAAAATCACTGATTATTTGAAAGAGACATTCGTTCTCATTTCTGATCGGCGATATCTGTCACCGGAGACAAGTACTGTCGCATGTATCACACTGATTGGTGAAGGAGGCCGAGAAGCTTCGCAATGTTTAAATACTCTACTTGAATATTTATTAAACTGTGATTTAAATCACTCGGTTATATTCTGTTTAAAGAAATTATGCTCAATGCCATGTATATCGACAGATATAAAGCAGAAAATTTATCTAGGTTTGTTAAAAAATCTTGCTTTGATCTTGCGGCAAACAAATGAACAGATCAACATGATTTTGATTGCTTTACAAACGCTACAAACATTTGATTTTGAAGTTCAGGCAATCGAACCGGTATTTATCGATATTTTACACTTACATTTAATTCAACATACTAATGTTCGTATTCGGATTGAATCAGTTATGACAGTGACACATCTATTGCGGCATTTCTTCTTACCAATCGCATCAATGAAGAACATACACATTAAACTTGGTTTAATCTTACATAAATTAATAACTATTGCTATCACTGATCTAGATCCCGGTGTACGCTATCACGTTCTTCTTGGTTTACAAGATAGTTTCCATACATTTCTTGTGAAAAACGAAATATTAGACTTGTTGTTCTTTTCCATCAATGATCGCTGTCATGAAATAAGAGAATTAACTATAATTTTACTCGGACGCTTATCAAATGTGAATCCAGCATATATTTTACCTCGTTTAAAACAAGTTTTATTTCAATTCTTAACAGACTTAACTCTTCAACATGCATATAATGAAAAAGAGCAAACATTAAGACTCTTAGGCCAACTAATTACAAATGCACCGAGACTCGTTCAATTATACTCGCTACTGATCAGTCAAGTAGGAATTTTAGATAAACATACTATGAACAAAGAGTTTCGTTTAGGTTCTATTGCCACTAATCAAACAAACAGACCCACATTCCAATGCGTTTATAACTCTAATTCGAACTATTGGCGAATACGCTCATGTTTGTGGCATTGATTTTCGTGCACATCTCCATGACGTATTTCCTATTTTAATATACATGCTGCAAGACACACTGAATGCTCGCAAACGTCGAGTAGCACTATGCGTAACAGAAAAGCTGATTAGAAGCTGTTGTTATGTCATCGAACCATTCGAAAAATATCCTCTACTATTTGATTTACTATTTCAATGTCTGAAGTCCGACGATACCTTTGTCCGTCGACAAACGATACGTCTGCTCGGTTTTATCGGTGCGATTGATCCCCAACATATTCAATCATTGAACGATCACTCGTCGGAAACCAATGACATAACAATCATCCACCGCACTTCAAACACGATCGATTCAATTGAATCCTCGTCAAATGAACATACAACTCTAGCTATTCATATTTGCCTTCGTGTACTCCAAGATTCAAGCAATTCAAATTTACATTTCAAATCGATCGAAGCGATTTCGAAGATCTTTCAAAGACTTGGTGATAATTGCACTCAGTATGTACCCGTTGTTTTCCCAGCGTTACTATCGGTTATTCAAAATACCAATCGAAAAAACCTACCTCCTTACTTTCATCAAATGAATTTCATTATCATGTCGATGAAGACTTCGATCACGCCATATATGAATGACATAATTCAACTGATCGAAACTTATTCAAGTTTGAGCATCGAATTACAGATATTGTTTATTCATACCATTGAATCGGTAATGAGTGCGTTAGAAAACGAATTGCATAGCTATACTCATTTGTTATTACCATTGATTATGAGGATCTTAAAAATCGATTTGAAGAATTATTCATCTATTGATAAACAAACGATCTTATTACGAATGTTTTCTACATTAAACAAATCCGACCGGTCTTTAAGGCCGTACTTGAAAAGTATTCTCTTGCAAATATTAGATATTGCACTGTTGGATGAAAATTCCATAAAAGTACGCGAAGAAGCATTGAACACATTTGAACATTTAGCGGAAAAGGAATTTATTCATGATTATGCATTGACTATCGTTCAAATTTTACTGGCAATTCTTAGTTCTACGACACAATTACAAATAAAATGTTTGGATACGATCTATGTAGTAGCTCAACATATGGGCAAAGATTTTCTTATCTTCAGTCCGCTCATATCGAAATCCATGCATGAATACTCATTAAAACATCTCGAGTATGAATCATACATGTCCAAATTGAAAGACTCGCCATCTGATGATCAGCCACAGACGCAAGTGAATAGTAGTTCTGTCCAAGTTACACCTTCTACTAAACAACCGACTGTACGTGATCCTTCCATGGTGTATACAATGCGTATTGTACCATTGAGACAACATTGGTTACAAGCTTTGCATCGAAATGCAACCGATTTATCGATATGGTTAAATAAATTTCAACAGCTTGTTCTAGAACAATCGCCAATTTATTCACTACGGGCAATGGGAACTTGTCTAGCCGAGCATTCGTCATCGATTTCGAAAGAGTTGTTCAATGCTTCGTTCATATCCTGTTGGAATATAATGAATACTGAAGATCGGAAAAGTTTAGCAGAAACCTTGACTTATGTTCTCTCGGCATGTGACAAAGCCGATGCGATACAGATTATACTTAATTTAGTCGAATACTATGAACATTACCAAGTCGAAAAGCCCGAAGAACAGCTCGCACCGTTAATTAACGTTTCTTTATTAATTAGCAAAGCTGTTTCCGTTCGAGCATATGCCAAAGCTTTACGATATACCGAAATGCAATTTGAAAGTCAAAATCCCTCCTCGTCGGATACAGTCGAAAAGCTAATCAGTCTCAATTATGAATTACATCAGTCCGAAGCTGCATTTGGTGCATTAGAATATGCGAAATTTCATAAAATCACGATCAAAGATCTTTGGTACGAAAAATTGAATCAATGGGAACGAGCACTCGGCCACTATGAATTCACCCAGGCCAACGATCAGTACAATTTGGATATTGAATTGGGACGAATGCGATGCATGCAAGCACTTGGTTTGTGGACTGAATTGAAGAAACTAACGCATCAAATATGGAATATTACAGAACCAATTGCCGGCGAAGAGTCAATCTCATCATCTATCAGTCGAAATGAGACGAAGAGAACTCTTCAAGAGAAAGTTGCACCTATTGCAGCGCGTGCAGCATGGAGCGTAAGAGATCTAGTGGATATGGAGAAGTATTCGATTCACATACCAATTACACAATTTGAAGGGGTTTACTATCGCGCTATAAATGCCATTCGAAAGAATACTTATCGACAAGCACAGGATTCGATCGATTTAGCAAGAGAGTTTTTGGATGGAGAATTGAAAACCCTAACAAATGAAAGTTCTAGTCGCGGGTATTCAGGTAAATTAAAGTACATTAGTCTGTGCTATGAACATATTCTCTTTCCTAGCAATGATCAATGCACAATTACTATCTGAATTAGAAGAAGTTTGGGAATATAAAACCCGTCCTGAGCGTCAACAATCGATCTGTATGATGTGGCAAAAACGTATGGAAGGTAATCAATCGATAATCATCGATGATTACCATCGTTTATTGTTAACACGTTCTTTGTGTTTACCAATGATTGACGACCTTCAATCTTGGATCAAATTAGCCAGTCTTTGCCGCCGATCGGATCGTTTGATGATGGCAGATTTTATATTTAAACAATTAACTCAAACAGTTCCAATCGATGGAAATCAATCCTCCCAAACGTTCTATCATTCAGTGTTACTTCAGTATGAAAAGGGAAAATATGACTGGCATTGTTTAAATAAAGCACGTGAACGTCTGTATTCTGAACGACAAAGTCGTCATGAAAATTCGATACGTAACAACTCGCCGACCAATGGCGATGATCTCGTTGATAAATTACAACAAAATCAGCAGGAACAACTACATCTCATTAATAATATGAAACAAATCATTCATAGAATACAGCAATCGTCACCTTTTACAAGCATAACTGAACCGGTAAGCTACTCTTTTCGTTATTCACGTTTATTTTCAATGGAATTTTCTTCAGACCGCATCGGCTCTTCGTAGATTAACATCGAGATGTTTCTTACGGTTAGGCACCTGGCAACATGAATTATCTGGCATGGCCGATGATAGGATATCCGGTGAAATCCTGATCAACTACGAACGTGCATGGAAATACGATGAATCAAATTACAAAGCGTGGAACGCTTATGCCGTACTTAATTATGATACAGTTCATCATCGTCGGAAAGAAATTCAAGATTTAACACACGATACTCAACATCAACTGGCAGCCATGATACTTCCCTGTGCCGTTTCTTCAGTCAAAGGTCTATTTAGATGCATTGTACTTTCAAAGTCGAAGCATTGTCTACAAGATACCCTACGTTTATTAACCATTTTATTCGAATACGGGCAATATGATGAAGTGTATCAAGCGTTTGATGAAAATATGCGCATGATACCAATTGATGTTTGGTTACAAGTTTTGCCACAACTGATTGCACGAATTGATTCGTCGCATATCTCTATTCATCAGCTGATACAACGCTTATTGATGAATATCGGCCGAGAACATTCTCAAGCTTTGATTTATCCGCTGGTTGTCGCATCAAAATCACGTATTTCCGAACGAAAATTTGCGGCATACATCGTTTTAAATCATATGAGAGAACATAGTTCCGTACTTGTTCAACAGGCAATCATCGTAAGTGATGAGCTGATAAAAATTTCGATCTTATGGCACGAAAAATGGCGCGATGGGCTAGGAAGAGCACTAAATCAATATACCGAACATAAAGATATTCTCGGGATGATCGAGCAATTGAAAGACTTATATACGGAGAATTGTCTCGATGCCAGTAATACTTTGAATGAACGTAAGTTCCTTGATTTGTATAAGAACGATTTACTACAAGCGTACCAACATTTTTGTCAATTTTGTGAAACGGCCGATAAAGAGAAATTTCCAATGGTATTTCAACTGTACTTTCAAATCTATCAACGTCTACACACACATTTACAATCGATGACAGCACTTGCACTCGATGAAGTCTCTCCACGTAAGAATTCAAAGCATTTGCATAGAAATTGTCATATCTTTATTCTCTTTTCCAAATAGAATTGCTCATACATTGTCGCGATTTGGAATTGGCTATTCCCGGAACGTACAAGCCGCACAAGCCGCCGATAACCATTCGAAATATTCATTCAAACGTCAAGATCATCACGTCAAAGCAACGACCAAGGAAAATCAGTATGATGGGCTCGGATGGTTTTCAATATACATTTCTATTAAAAGGACATGAAGATTTACGACAAGATGAACGTGTCATGCAGTTGTTTGGTCTGGTCAATGAATTTCTTACAACGAATGAGCAAACGCGCCATCAGAATTTCAATATTCAACGCTACCCTGTCATTCCATTAGCGTTAAACAACGGCTTACTCGGTTGGGTCAGTCAATGTGATACATTGCATACATTGATCAAAGACCATCGTATAAAAGTCGGAATCCCTTTAGATATCGAGTATCGTCATATTCGAGATCAAACCGATGACTATGAACAACTACCACTCATAAATAAAGTTGAAATATTCGAAAATACAATTGGTTCATTGAACGATGATGGTTTAGCAAAGATTTTATGGCAGACGAGCTCCAATGCGGAAGTCTGGTTAATGAGAAGATCGAATTACACGAGATCGTTGGCTGTAATGTCTATGGTAGGAACAAACATGAAGTAGAGATTCAGTGCGAATCACTTTTGTTTGTAGGTTGGATATATATTAGGTTTAGGCGATCGTCATTTGTCGAATTTAATGCTTGATCATGCAAGTGGGAAAATTGTCCATATAGATTTTGGCGATTGTTTCGAAGTAGCGATGAAACGGGAGAAGTTTGCGGAAAAAGTTCCGTTTCGTTTGACACGAATTCTATGTAAAGCTATGGAAGTGACCGGAATCAACGGAACGTTTCGCATGACGTGTGAACATGTGATGGCCGTCCTAAGAAAAAATCGAGATAGTCTCATGGCTGTCCTCGAAGCATTCATTCATGATCCCCTACTGAATTGGCGGTTGTTAAGCGAACCGAATAGTACAACATCAAGTTTATCGACGATTTACGAAGAGGAGCATGAGAATCGGAGTGTAGCGCAACAGCAAAGTCTTGATATACAAACAGTGGAAGTAATTAATCGTGTGCGAGATAAATTAACCGGCAATGATTTTCATCATGAACAACCTGTAGATATTCCAACACAAGTGGAATTACTGATAAAACAAGCCACAAACCACGAAAATCTTTGCCAGTAGGTTCTAGTTGCTCGCTTTTCCTCTACTAATCTCTCGATTTTCCTTTATAGATCTTATCTGGGTTGGTGTCCGTTTTGGTGATCTTTCAGGGTTTTTGTTTATTTTGTAAATAATTTATATTTATAATCATGAGAATAAGAAAATAAAATCTAAGGATGCGATCCAATGTAGTAGGCATCGGAAGCAATGCCACACATATTCACTCCTCGTCTTATCCGAATAAGACCATTCTCACCCCATGTTTGTCCCCATGAGTTCTTCACTTTCCAATAATCGAGTCCTGTTGTCGGATCATGACCATATCCAACTAGAAGCATAGCATGATTTTGTCGTGGTTGCTCACTGCACCCCGGCACATCGAATATACCAGCAGAATACGCATTGAATTTCATAGAAATATTCGTAAGAAGTAACGATTCATTTGCTCGATTGCCAACATTGAATGAAATATAAATTGGTCCATACTTACGCAAAAGTATTTTCATCGCTTCTTCATCATTGGTCGGCACACGTTTGTATAGCTTTTCGCCGAGATTGATTCCCATCGGATGAGATGTCGGACATAGTTGGGCAACGGCTGTATACGGATAATGCCGGGTCAATTGTGTATACCAATATTTTGATTTCATGTAATTAAAACATGGAACAAAATTTCCTCCACGACAGCCGAACAGTGCTGAACAATCGACAAACTGCTGTTCGCTAATGTCTTGTTTTGTACCATGTCGAATGGCATAGTTTGCTTCGAGCATTCCAACAAATGCAAACGCATAGCAGCTTCCACATCGACCTTGATTTTTCGCTCGCGAAACGACGTAATGTCTCGTCCAATCCCATGAATCGTATTTGTCATTATTCAACGGGAAATACTGTTCGGTATCGGGAATGGGATCGAAACCGGACCGTGAAGAAACCTTGTCGACATTCTTCTCGGGCAGCAGTCCAGTATGGTGATCAATCTCATCAGCTGTCCAATCAGTAAATGCATTCAAACCTAGTGTAAAAGAGTTTCTTTCAGCAGTATTGGCTTGTGCAATAAATTTCAAATTTTCTTTGAAATTTTCCATTCGAATGAGTGTCTCGACATCCGACCGAGCCATTGTTCGATGTGGATGGTACTGCATCCGGTAGTATTCGTATAAATTTGCAACAAACGAATCATCAGCGAATTGATCAGATCGTTTGTGAAGGCTTTTTTCAAGATATTGTTGAATAGTTCTGCACTGAATAGTGCAGACCAGCAGAAAAATGATACTTATTGATCGCATATTCGAATAGGAATGAAAACATCAATGCTTTAGTCGAACACTTATATATACAGATTTGATAAGTACGTTGATCACCTCTTATCGAGTCATTTGCATATGCAGTCGATAACAGTTTTAGTCAAAATGCTTGCATTGCACACCTACATTTTACGATAACGAAGAATTAACATGAATCAACTGATATGAAGTGTGGATATCGAAATCTTTTTAGTTTTTGATATTCATTTTACCCACATGATGACTCGACTAACATCGAATCATTTTCGTATTAATTTGGTTACGAATTTACGCAGCTTTTTATTTGAACCGAAAGAAAATCAAGACAAGAACGAATAAAAGGCATTGTCTTCTAAATAATATTCTGTCAGTATAATAATTCGAACTGAGTCTTCGTTCGTGCAACTAATTGAAGTTCGAGTTTAATTGAAGGAGACAAACTACAAGAGCGAAGATCAAGTCTTTGCAATGATCGATTATTGTGCATTATGTCCAGGAGATAGTCGAAACTTCGATCAGTAATCATCTTATTCCCAGCAAGCAGTAAACGTTGAAGAGTGTTGTTTTGTTTGAGTGCTGCAGCCAAATTTGCAACACCAAAATCACTAATTTCGTTATCTTCGAGTCCTAATACCAACAGCCGATGGTTTCTCTCAAGCATTTTGCTCAAATGCTGTACACCCTCGTCCGTGATGCCATTTCGTGATAATCCCAAGACGAATAGGGATGAGTTTTCAGTAAACAACGATAAATGATATACACCTTCATCTGCAATACGATTGTCAGAAAGGTAGAGTCGACGTATTGTTTCACTTTTACCCAATGCATTGACGATAATCAGTACGCCTTTGGATGTTATATTATTACTTCCCAAATCGAGTTGTGTGCATTGCTTTCCAACGATCGCCTCTTCAGCTACGATGTTCATCTCCTCATCAGTAAGACTTAAATCAGACAAGTTGATTTTTGACTGCAGCGGAGCATTCGCAATCAATCGTTTCAGTTCCACACCAGACGCAGTCATCGACTAGTAATGCGTTTGTTTTATGGTGAAAAATAAACACGCAGGAGTCCATATATATCGAAACGAAAGCACTTTTCTATTGGATGCAATTGTAACATGACCTTTTGCACGCGCTACACCGACGCATATAATGAAAGAATACAGGAAAACGAAATATTGACATGTAATACAAGACAGTATTGTTTTTGTTTTAGCAATTTGTGCTCGTCTTGTTAATTGCTATTCTATATATATATATACATATCTGTGTGTGCGAAGTACCGGACCAATGTTCGTTATGCGTATTAAAAAATTGATAAAAGTCACGTTCGTGTCACTTAGATCCAACCAAAGAAAAAAATATATATATGAGATTGAAAAGTGCAATGGTTTTGTACTAATAAAAACATGATGGTGTAGATTCTATTTAGCTCATAACATGCAAAAATGAATATAAATACTTCGTCGTGCGTGTCTGTTTTTTATATCGTTAAGAATATCTTGCTCGTGTAAGAAGAATGCTCGCTTTTTCCTTGAGCGCACAATTACCTATATCTGCACGAGTCTGAAATTCACATGTCTTCTTTGTTCTTCGAATATGTCCTCAGAAAACGTACCGACGATTCTGTGTTTCGTCCCGGCATACTTATTTTCTTCTTGTATACAATGCATCTCCAATGATTCTAACTGTCTGGATTCTGTGTTGTTATTCTGTTGACTTTAATAATAGTTCTGGTAGTGGAAAAGGAAGAACAAGTATATACTTGCTATAAAGATTAAAGAGCGTGAATTTTTATCGTATTCAGAAAGAAAAACGACGACCGTTCTTCGTCGTGAAACAAGAAAACAAGATAGTCCTACTTTTTTCCATCCATTAAGTTCTATTTATGATAGAGATTTTCATGATGAACTCAACATTACCAGCAAAGGTATTGAATGTCTTTTCAACAGCCCTAGAAATCATTTCTTTGTTAATTTCCTTATTTTTCTTATACTGTATTATCCATCTAATGATCATTCGACATTCGTATCAAACATCCCGAAAAATTGACATTTCCATTCTTTTATCAATCAATGCTATTTGTTTACATATATCAAAAAGCATTCTTCAACTGATTAATGCCAATATCAATACAATCAAATACGATTTTCAACTCCGAGTCGAACCGTACGATTTAGTCATCTGTCAATCATTAGCATACATGTTTTTCTCGGTCGTCAGTGCACTGTACTGGAGTTGCGTTCTTCATGCTGGATATCGTTTCATTCGTATTTTATATCCCAAACGTTTGTGGTTACGTCGATTGTCCACTTACATCTATGTTTTCATTCCCGCTCAACTTGTTATCGCCTTCGCAGGAATGTCACCGATTCTATTCGTTTTTCATTCAATACACATCGTACCTGATGAAATCTATTGTAGTATATCGATGGAGAGACTGCCATCGTTAATTTATCTGTTTGTAGTACTTTTCTGTTTGCCTTGTTGTTTTATTGCCATGTTTTATGTCTATTTGGTTCACAAAGTACGATCTTTAACCTCAGTTCGAGTTTTAACACGAAGACATCGACGAGATTATATCGTGATTCATCGAATTATATTAATTTTATGTGTACTAAGTATAACGTCTTTACCGGCAGTTATAAATTTAGTATTTTTTAATCCGAATGGTCGATTAGAGCCCGTTATTTACCGGATTCAGTGGATGGCCTCATCCGTAAATTCATTTATATTTATTATTACATTGCCGCTTGTTAATTCACAATTGTATAGATTATTGACCAAGCGAAGCAACTTCAAACAACGTGATATGAGACTAACTTCAGTTAGAGTAACTGGTTTTTCAGATAATCGTGATGGTTCGATGTATGGCACACTGAGAACACGGATTTATTGTAAATAAATTCATTTCGATATTCAAATGTAAAAAATGTGAAGCCTTTTCTTTTTCTTTATGAAATAACACAAGCGTCGCTCGATGGATTTGAATGATTGTATGATGCTCGTGCGCTTCTAGCACTCAGCGCACGAGCCGCAGCCGCTCGATTCTGTTGTTCAAAGTAAGCAGCGAGTCCTTTCACTGGCTCAACATAATATGCTCGCATCCATGACATACAGTACGTCATAATTTTCTTCACTTGCCGTGTTTGTCCAGCAACGATGATTGATTGAACAGCTAACAGTTGATGACGTACTTCACTAAGCTCATAGAATTTATTACTACTATCACCACAAAGTTCTTCAGCGTGGAAAAATACTTTTCCTTCGAACTCATCAGGACTCAAAGCCAAGGCAAGCACAAGAACCATTCGCTGTTCAGCATTGGTCAGAAAAGACCAATTACGATAGTCTCGATAACGTCGTACATCTTGATCCTTATATTCTATGGCACTAAATACACAATTGAGATAATACATGAGTTTAGCTAAATCATTGTCTGGAACTGTCGCTCTTGAACTGGTTGGTCGCAGATTGAACTGACTACGAGAAAATAAAGCCATGGATGTTTGCTTGTATTATAGCTAATGAATTTGATTAGAAGAACAAGATATAGACACAGTTTTTATACTTCATTGATCGGTTGGAAACTTTCACGAGAACTTCCGTGTAAACAAAGTGATTGTATTGGTTGAAAAAAGTTGTCATGACTGAAAGCGTCATTAAATCAACAGAGAAAATTCTCTTTCTGTATGCTGTGGCTTCCATTCGTTGTTCATTATTGTCAAACTTGGGTTAAAAGATGATGTTTGTTTCTAACAATTACCTCATCGTTTCTATACTTCTTTCCAATTTGAAACAACGAGTCATACGCTACTAAATCAAGCCGTGACCTATCTCGACTGCATTATCGAGAATACAGGCCGAATTAGCTTCATGCTAGATTAGTAGTGTATTACAATAAAATATAGTTATTATTTACTGAGCTCCATATTGCGAAGATATACTTGAAAATGAGCCATTCAGTGTAAATAAAGCAGGACATTGAGCAACAAGTAAACCAACTTTACACGTCAGAAGTAAACTCTTCTTCGTATAACACTCATATATATGCTATGAAATCGTTTGCTAGAAAAAACGTAATATTTATTCATTTACACAACGAAAAAAAAACAGGAAAGAAAACATATGTCCCGCGTACACAACACCCAAATGTTCAAATGACTAGCATATTCAAACATCACTATTTTCTTCTTCAGCAAGACGCACAACAGTCGAATAGGAATATTTCATTTTCAACGACGCTTCGGTGTCGATACTTGTACAGGTTGTTGATGAAGATAAGGGTCGACTGATTTGTTTCGACAATGAAACTGATTCGTAAGTGCTATCGTGTGGAAGTTTGCTTATGGAGGAAATAGACGATGGATAACTGTGTTCAACTGTTCGAGAGTATTGTTGATGATCAGACAAGGAATCCTAAACGAAAATTGATGCGATTTTCATTGCCAAAAATTTCAATTCATACTTCGACTAATCGGTCGTGTTCTTCAAATGTATGATCATCTGTTTTACTCGTGCTGCTACAGCCAGGACTTTCATTTTCAATATAGTACGATTTTCGCGGTATGGATACGTATAAATGGTAAGTTTTGTTTTCTTGGTAGTATCGCCGATGGATAAAAATAAATTTATATAGACAAAAGATTAATCCGATCAAGGTCAAGACAATCATTGATATGATAATGACGTATGTATAGGAATAATACGTTTTCCATGTTCGAATGTTTTTCATCAATGAAATATTTGAAGTGTTATTTGAATGGTTTGTAACGGAAATGAATAGATGACAATCGTAAGTTGAGTTAAGCTGAATAACCTTGCCGTGATCTTGAGCGAGGATTTGAAAATGATACGACGATTGATTTAGATATTCTGAATTGAATATTTGACCTTGGTTATTAATACGAAATTGTTTATCATGCGGAGAAAGAATGAAATAAGATATTTCACTGTTTTCATTCTGATCAGCATCGATTGCTTGAACTGTGAATAATGGATGATCTGAAAGAGAAGAAAATGCCGGATAGAACAGAGATTTAGAGGTGAAAAAAACACAGACCAGATTGATTTTGCGGATTTTTTAAATGAATTTTACATTCTTTTGTTTGATCAAACAGCGGTGGTGAATCGTTGATGTCGACGATTTCAATTTGATATTCTAGTTTAATGGATTTCGATGGTTTTCCATGATCGGATATGGTCAAAACGAATTGATTGAATTCTTTGATATTTTTATCTTCACGGTCGATTAGGTGGTTCACAATGAGTAAAAGCGACTTTTGATCGAGTGTTTTAATTCCTAAGATGTCCTCTCCTTCTTCGATTTTATACGACATCTCACCATTGAAACCAGAATCTTGATCGGAAAGAGATATATGTGCAAGGATTTGTCCAACAGGCGTATTTTCTGATATTGAAATGATCGAATTGTTCACGAGTGGATCGACAAAGGTAACAAATGCTTGTGGAAAGTTGTCATTTTCATCCAGAATGGAGATATCAATCGAAAGGAAGCGTGCTAACGAATTCTCGCCTAAATCTCGCACTTGTACAGTTAAACGATACGATTGTTCCGATTCATAATCTAATGAGCTGACGAGCGTTAATCTAAACAACAAGGTCAAAACCCTTTGATTCATACAAAAGAGCAGAAAGAAAAAAAAAATTTACATTCCAGTGGATTCACCAATACGGAAGTAATCCATCCAAGTGGATGATGGTAAGCCGTTGCTAATGGAGTAATGAATCTAGGAAATCAAACTTGAAGTCAATTGTCTACGATGGCCTTCTCAATTTACTTTGCCGTTAAGTCCAATATCTTGATCGGTAGCATTCACATATGTTAATTCCGTTCCGACTGGTGTATTTTCGCTGACATGTAAATGAATGTGTGCTTGAGCAAGAACAACTGAATTATCATTTCGATCCTAGAAATATAAAATCAATGATAAACTCATCAAATCGTAATCATTTCTCTACGCACATGAACTGTAATGTATAATTTCGTTGAACTTTGTTGTCTCGGTTGCCCATAATCATAAGCAATTAACTCATATTGATAGAAATCTTTTTCTTCTCGATCAATCTCTCCGATGACTTTTAATGCAATTCCTCCGTTCGCTTTCCTTACTAATTCGAACGGACCTTCGCCTAAACTGATCAGCTCATAGTTAATTCGGCTATTTTCCTCAAGATCCGCATCGTAAGCCGATTCTAATGGCAATTCGTAACCATACGGAATATTTTCCATGACGTTCAACTGATAAATATCCGAAGAAAATATCGGTCGATGATCATTGATATCATCAATGTTGATAATCAGTTTCAATAGACGATATGGTGACTGCCATTCGATTAATTCGATGATTATTTGGCAATGAACGCATGAACATGTATGTTGTAAACACAGGTCTTCTCGATCTAATAAATGTGCAAGTTGAATTTGTCCAGTGGATGAATTGTAATCAACGAACGAATTGTGATTTCGACCAGAATCGAATAAACGATATGTGATATTATGTGGTGTGATGAACAGAATTGTTGACAACGGTAATTCTTCATTAATTCGTATGTTAATAGTTTGATAATCCTCTTCATAACAATGAACAACTGATAAAAAGAGTATGAGCAACAACATCTAAAAGCAGAAGAAGAACAATTTTCATCATTGGTAAGACATGTCTACCCATTGGCAATGATTTAATTTACTTGAGACAGTGAATGAAAAAAGACTGAACATATGGAGGGTGAAAATCGATTACAAAATGACGAGATGAATTTACCCTAAGGTTATCTTTATTAATAAAAACTTTCCAAAATCACGCACTGAATCACACTTATGCTCAGAAGTGTGAAAAGACGATAACATCTTGACTCATTAACTTACAGTTAAACATGGAGACGAGCGCATGAATGAGTTCATAGGTTGAATAGCTA